CCCACCTTATTAACTTTTCCTTGAGCTGAGTTAAGAAGACATCACAGCACTCAGGGCATTCCCATGAGTGCTCCATCCCCATCTTCAGCAGCCAGCACAGAGTTCTGATAAACTTTTCCTTATTAATATTTACTTCCACTGGCAGTATTTGGAATGCCTTTGACTTATACCAAAACTTAACATAATGTAAACATGTAGTGGGTCAGAGTTCAACCAATATCAACACTAGAGTGAGTCACTGCAAGGCTAGGCAACAATAATGGACCTCAGTGCTAGAAACCCTCAAGTTATAAATCATTTTTTTCGGCTTCTTTTTCTTTTCTGTCTTCAGTTACATCAGCGGAATATTGGGAGAGGGATCTAACTTCTACGCACTATTTACTCTTTCAGTACCAGTAAATATGAGTATAGAAGCTTTTGTAGGTTATTTTTTTTTGACACAGCAAATGTGTCAGTGTAACTATTTAAAGTTAGGCCAAAATACAAATATTTAAGGAATATTATCAAATGATGATTAAAAAAAAAAAAAAACAACTACATGTCATAACAAAAGCATTATTTAATCCTTTTATCCTGAGAAGCATCAAAACCAATTAATTGTGTACAATCATACCTAAATATCACTTTTCCTTATCTACACTGAACTGTTTATGAGTTGTAAAGTTAATTCTTTTGGCTGTTTTCACCCCTGCACAAACTTATATGAGGTCAGGATATAAAAATATTAATAAAAAAAAAAAATTGCATTTTGTGGGTTTTTCCTTTGAGTCAAATCGTTTTTTTAAAGCCAAGCAGACATTTTCCTGAAAACCTCAGTGATAGAGATCACAGGGTCACGGCATGAGTAACCTGATACAGCCACAAGTGATGTATTCCATTGGATGCTCCACCCTATTTGTGTTGACTGATTATTCACTTCACATATTTTGGTGGTGCCCCTAAATCAATTTAAAAAAATTTTTGGTTTACAAATTCATTAGCGACCTGTGTAAAAAATTTTTTGGAAAGGATTTTTTTTCCTGAAATTCCAATGACGTCATGGCCCATTTTAGTGTTCCTGAGGCAACAGGGTTAAGTAACAACACTTGTTCCGGATAAAAGTTGTGATAACGCATGCTGGTACCAAAAGAGTTAATCAGTAAAAGTGTCCCAGGTACCAAGCCTGGCCAAACTGAGGGCATGTATGAGTTAAAGATGACAAAAATGTAATCAAATGACAAAAAAAAAACACTGAACATCATGAAATATACTTCTCTCCACTTTTATGAATGACCCAGTCTAAAACAGGCACCAGGAAATATGAGCGGAAGTAAAGGTGGCTAGCATAATATGGACCACATCATACACTGAGTAAATCTACAAGGTGTCTACAGTTTTCAGGAAGAATACTTTTTCTTTTAAAGAAAACCATTTCTTATTTTCATATTATGTTCTACTTTGGCTCTGTGGCTAAGTCGATGCGAACGCTTCGTAATGCCGGGATGCCGGTTTCGATTCCAGCTGCGGGCCATGCACCTTGCGTTGGTTTCGACAGTGGTATCAAGAAAGCCGAAAGTCCAGAAAGCAATGGCAAACTGCTGGACGTAAATTTGCCTAGAAAAACCACACAACAGCCAGGTGCTGTTGGGGTTGGTTCTGCAACGTCCTGTAAAGAATACGCGACTAACCAATATGTTCTACATGACAACCACTGATTTGAAAACACATTTTGATGCATATCCTTCACAGTTGGAGTTATGCTTGTAAAGACATTGGTAACATGTTATCTTTGGTGACACTTCCTTTTTTGGTGACAACTTTTTTTGGGGGGGGGGGGGGGGGGGTGACACTTTTTTTTTTTTTTTTTTTAATGTGGAAACTGATGAGACACCAATACAAATATGGATCTAGCATTATATGCCTAGGAGTGGTCATAGCACAGTGGCTAGACGTTTACTTGTCAGCCTGAAAGTCCTGAGTTTAAATCTGCATCAAGTTGGATTTTTTCTTCAAAGGTGACCTTGTCTCACAAGTTGACCCAACTTACAATGGTTAGCTGGTAATGCCCTGGGAGGTAAAGGTGGTCAGCATGATGTTGACCCGATTACTATCTAAGGCTGACCAGTCAATTGCAAAATAAGTCACACGAGACTGTCATGGTTTATTTTTTTGCCCCCCCTCCCCCCTTTTAATGTAGAAAAAATTCACTATCTTACCTAGGAAATGAACCTGGGTCTTCCGAATGTAAACCTAGTATTCCCAACTGTTCAGCCAGTTGTCCCTAAAACAAACCCCCCAAAAAAAAACTAATTTTCTGAAAATGACCTTGGCTCCCAGGTGGACCCAGCTTTGAGTGAGTACCAGGCATAGTTCTGGGAAGTAAAGGCGGCCGGCATGATGTTGACCACATCACCCACCAAGTGTTGTTGGTCAATATATATGCCAAATTTGCCTGAAAGGCGTGGAAAAGGGTCCTTTACTTTTCTGAAAATGATAACAGAGAGAAGATTCAAAGGCAAAAGGGCATCAAAGATTAAATAGACAAACAGAACAAAATATTTAAACCACAGTCTGGTAAATTAGTTAGTTAGTTGGGTTATCATCATTTCACTCCGGACATGTCCATAGGTGCTCAGATCCTCCCCTCAGTATGAACCCCAACGTCCGATGGCTAACAGTACCAGTTCTATATGGTAAATAATACCATCAAGGTTCAGGATCACCCACTGATGACCTTCACGGCAGAGTCAGCACTGGATGATGATGATAAGACCATACAGTAAAATCTAGTTAACACAAATTCCAAGGGACCAAAAAAAAAAAACATGACTGCCTGTGTTTTAAAGATATGACATAACAGACTTGGATACAGTAACAAACATACATATAAACTGTATTACAAGAACACACAGAACAGAAAATTAGGTGGGCACACACAGATAGTAGCAGTTCTAGAAGGGTGAGAGACTAATAGATGTACAGGGTTATTCAAAATGATGGATACACTTTGATTCATGTGATTTTCCTTGATATACATTACATATTAATATACATAGTCGGCGTTTGTGGCTAAGGTGTTGTGAACATGCTTCGTAATGCCAGGTTAAATCCCAGTTGCGGGCCTTGCATTGGTTTCGACAGTGGTATTAAGAAGCCAACTGTCCAGAAAGCAATGGCAAACTACTGGATGTAAACTTGCCTGGAAAACCCATAATAGCCCAAAAAATGCTGACGTAGTTCTGCAATGTCCTGTTAAGGATATGCAACTTACTTCAACATTATTATACTTACAAGAGAGAGGGAAAGGTTTTAAGTTTAAAAAACTTATATAATAGAGGTTATAGATGGTGAATTTGGCCGCTGTCTGCTGCTCAGCAAACATCTAAGTGGTATCCGAATTCCTCTCCCATTCAAAGAAACATCTCTTACGTAATGAGTTCACTGCAGCTGTGATACAGTTCTGCAGGCTGCCCAACTGCGCTCTAGCAGAAGTATTCAAAACTAGACTTTCCCCTCTCTCTTGTATGCATATTATTCATATTTAATGTGTTTACAAGGAAATAAAGATGAATGAAAGTATTTATCATTCTGAATAACCCTGTATTTTGACTAACACACCACTGCTGGGAGAATTTTTTTTAATGTTTATCGAGAGTGAGCGTTTTAACAAGATTTTACTGCATTATAATGGGAAACATTAATTTTCCTGATTCTTGTTGAACATGTATCACACAATATAAAAATTCTCATACTGTTTATTAATTGTCACTGTTACACTGAAAAAATGGAGCCGTCGTGGTGTAGTGACTAGCCACTCATCTGTGGATCAGAAGGCTGTGTGTTCAGGTCCTGGTGAAGCCAGACGTTTTCTTCTTCAAAAAATGACCGTGACTCCCAAGGTGACTCAGCCTTGAATGGGTGGCAGGTAAGTCCTGGCAAGTGCCGACTGGCTATGAAATATAGGTCCAACCCTATTTGCCCAATATGCAGGAAGGCACGGAAGGGGGTCCTTTACTTTTAAAATGAGAAAGAGGTGCCCTAAGGACAAGATCGAGTGATGTCATTAGCGACATTGGACCCCCACACGGAATGACAATGGCCAGTGACATCGATCAGGCACTGGACCACAAAGATGTTCCTTACCACGACACTTAACAGAAAAAGTGAAAGTTGAAGATGATGACTGTTATACTTCCACAACAAGGTTTTAGAGAGACACAGTTGGAGACTAATCACTGCCAACCTTCACCGCAAAGTCAGCACTGGATGATGATGATGATGATGAGTGTTATACTTCCACACCAACAATGTTTTAGACAGACACTGCGGAAGACTGATCACCACCAGCCTTCACCATAGAGTCAGCACTGGATGATGATAATGATGACTATTATACTTCCACAACGTTTTAGACAGACACAGCTGGAGAATGATCACCGCCAACATTCACCGTAGAGTCAGCACTGGATGATATGATGATGACGATTGTTATACTTCTACAACAAGGTTTTAGACAGACACAGCTGGAGATTGATCACTGCTAACCTTCACCGTAGAGTCAGCACTGGATGATGATGATAATGATGACTGTTATACTTCTACAACAAGCTTTTAGACAAACACAACTAGAGACTGATCACCACCAATCTTCACCATAGTCAGCACTGGATGATGATGACGTAGCCTATGTTATAAACAGACATGTTTAAAAAATTTTTAATTCATGTTCATCAAATGCTTTTATTGTTTATTCAATGGTAATGATTAGGAGGGTGGCAAAACGAAGATGGACTGATGACACAAATGACATTCTACATCCACAGGGCATGACAACTGCCTGGCGCATCCGTCAAGCGAAGGGCTGCAAAATGTTTCTCGTCACAACATTCAACAGTGACAGTTGAAGATGCTGATGAAAATGATTTTTACACTTCCACAGCAACAAGAAGTTTCTATCATCCGGTCCTGACTGTTGTAAAAGTAGGTAATAAAGGAGAAATCACCACAACCGATTCATCTAGTTAGTTTCGCAATGCTTGGAGTCTGCAAACAAACAAGACCATAAAATGGGTTAGCAGAAGTAAAAGAAAACATCTGCAAATAAACAGGACCACAAAATATTAAGCATAAATAATTTTTTTAAAAAAGGCTGCAAACAAATAAGACAACAAAATATTTAGAAAATAGTCACGAAGTCAGACCATACTAGGTCACTTTTGATTAGTGGTTTTCAGGCTCGTGAACTTTGGTCAAGGTTGCAGGGGTGTCCCAGTTTATTGTTTACTCGAAAAGGTGGCAGCACTGTCATCGGGGAAGGAGGGGGGGGGGGGGTTTTGTTAGGGCCAGTTCTTTATATTTTGGAACCGTTAAAAGTGCTGACATCATGGAATATACGCCACATCATCAGCTGGTGAAGAGAATGGAGACAGCTTTTCAAACAAAACAGTAAACCGGGACACCCCTGTAACGTTTAGCGAAGTTGACTAGCTCGACGAAGTATGAATGAAAAGTGACATAGTGTGTAAGTGAGAGGAGCTGGGTCTGGAAACATGACAAGAACCAATATTTAGCATAAGTCACACAAAAAAAAAAGTTGCAAACAAATAAGGCCACAAAATATTTAGCATAAGTAAAAAAAAAAAAAAACACAAGTAAACAAACAACCAATCTGTTAGTTTTGTTGCATCCTTTTTTTTTCTGGGCATATATATTTTGAAAGATGAACATAGCTGATAAAAGTAGCATGTTTGTGATTTTTCTTTGTGGAAAAGGGCTTTAAGGAACTTGTTAGGATGTCCGGGCCAAATACAGCGTAAATGGGCTTTCACACCTGTGACACGGACTAGTCTATGTTAGAGGAGTGTATATTGTGCGTCATGAGGGAGGTGAGCTACGCAGTGTGTTTTACTCATTGTTGCGAGCAGACAGCGACACTGCCCATATTACGGAGTTCAGGTACGACATGAATTTCGTTCAGCTGTCAGCATTGACAACCCACAAGGAGAAGAGCGTTGCTTTTTTCTACAAGAAGGGATTTAGGGCACAGCAGAAAATATTAACAATTCTGAAACCATGGGACCTACTCTGGACTCTCTCGTGGGACATAGGCTGAGATTGTGGGATAGGGGGGTTGGGGTTAGGGCCAGTTCTAGATGTTCTGGGGTTGTTAAAATCGATGTTGTGTAGTATAGAACATGCGACATCGTCGCTGATAGCATTGGAGATAAGACAACTTGACACCCCTGTTACATAGACTAGCCCTTTTGACAAGTGAGCAAGCGTGATTAAAAGGTCAACCAGTGTTGTATTTTGGTCGGGAATCGTATGAAGAATCGGCTTTAGTTACAGTGATAGCTGGGTCATGAGGTCAAGAGCAGCTCAGAAAGATGTAATCAAGTCAATTCTCGTCCAAATAAATATTATTATTGGTCCATAAAGAGAATTGTAACAAATTATTTGTGTGTGATCTGTTTAATATGGATATTGTTTTTGAAAGAAAAATTTCTTTTCCGAGAAAACTTGACATTCCAAAAATATGGATCTTTGGTATTGCTTTTTTTTTTGGTCAACAGGGCGAAAGAGGTCATAGTCTTGGTTTTTTTCTCTCTATGATTATCAAGGAAAGTAATAAAATGAAAGAGATAGAAATAGGTGGACAGTAATCTTTACCAATGCTGGACAGTGTGGGCTATATACAAAAAGGAAAGAAAAAATGTAACTACCAGTTCTAGCACACACATAACATAACATGGCCCAAAGGCTAAAAAGTATAAAACCTTCTGGAGAGGTCATCTTCCTTGCTAGATTCTCCAGCAGCCGGTGTCCGAATGGAGCTTGATGGTGCATGCAAGTCTTTCAGCTGGTCCATGACTTCCAGACCGTTCTCTTCAGCCACTTGCTGTATTAAGGCTTCCACCTGGTCTTGAGGTGTGGACAGAGTTGTTGCTGCTCCCATAGAGTTTTCCAGGGTCTGTTTGGGGAATAGATTTGTCACTGCTTCATTAAGAATCGTTAACATATAAAACATCACTACTTTAACATAAACAGTTAGAACTTTAGCATAAACAGACAGAACTTTATCAATAGGATACACAATATCACTACATACTACATCTCTGGTTTCTCATAAAAGCAGACTTCTCTCAGCACTGTCATTATCAAGTGCTTTGCCGACTGGCATGGGTGATCACACCTCTTTCCAAACTGTGATCTTTCTAACAATAAGTAGTAATACTTACACTAGGTCTAACATCAGATGCTATAATACAATAAGTAATGCTTACACTAGTTCAGACAACTACACTAAACAAGTAATGCTTACACTAGTTCAGACAACTACACTAAACAAGTAATGCTTACACTAGTTCAGACAACTAAACTAAACAAGTAATGCTTACACTAGTTCAGACAACTACACTAAATAAGTAATGCTTACACTAGTTCAGACAACTAAACTAAATAAGTAAGGCTTACACTAGTTCAGACAACTACACTAAATAAGTAATGCTTACACTAGTTCAGACAACTAAACTAAACAAGTAATGCTTACACTAGTTCAGACAACTACACTAAATAAGTAATGCTTACACTAGTTCAGACAACTAAACTAAATAAGTAATGCTTACACTAGTTCAGACAACTACACTAAATAAGTAATGCTTACACTAGTTCAGACAACTACACTAAATAAGTAATGCTTACACTAGTTCAGACAACTACACTAAATAAGTAATGCTTACACTAGTTCAGACAACTAAACTAAACAAGTAATGCTTACACTAGTTCAGACAACTAAACTAAACAAGTGATGCTTACACTAGTTCAGACAACTACACTAAATAAGTAATGCTTACACTAGTTCAGACAACTAAACTAAACAAGTAATGCTTACACTAGTTCAGACAACTACACTAAATAAGTAATGCTTACACTAGTTTCAGACAACTAAACTAAATAAGTAATGCTTACACTAGTTCAGACAACTACACTAAATAAGTAATGCTTACACTAGTTCAGACAACTAAACTAAACAAGTAATGCTTACACTAGTTCAGACAACTACACTAAATAAGTAATGCTTACACTAGTTCAGACAACTAAACTAAATAAGTAATGCTTACACTAGTTCAGACAACTACACTAAATAAGTAATGCTTACACTAGTTCAGACAACTAAACTAAACAAGTAATGCTTACACTAGTTCAGACAACTAAACTAAACAAGTAATGCTTACACTAGTTCAGACAACTACACTAAATAAGTAATGCTTACACTAGTTCAGACAACTACACTAAATAATTAATGCTTACACTAGTTCAGACAACTACACTAAATAAGTAATGCTTACACTAGTTCAGACAACTAAACTAAACAAGTAATGCTTACACTAGTTCAGACAACTACACTAAATAAGTAATGCTTACACTAATTCAGACATTTACACTAAATAAGTAATGCTTACACTAGTTCAGACAACTACACTAAATAAGTAATGCTTACACTAGTTCAGACAACTACACTAAATAAGTAATGCTTACACTAGTTCAGACAACTATACTAAATAAGTAATGCTTACACTAGTTCAGACAACTAAACTAAACAAGTAATGCTTACACTAGTTCAGACAACTAAACTAAACAAGTGATGCTTACACTAGTTCAGACAACTACACTAAATAAGTAATGCTTACACTAGTTCAGACAACTAAACTAAACAAGTAATGCTTACACTAGTTCAGACAACTACACTAAATAAGTAATGCTTACACTAGTTCAGACAACTACACTAAATAAGTAATGCTTACACTAGTTCAGACAACTACACTAAATAATTAATGCTTACACTAGTTCAAACAACTACACTAAATAAGTAATGCTTACACTAGTTCAGACAACTACACTAAATAATTAATGCTTACACTAGTTCAGACAACTACACTAAATAATTAATGCTTACACTAGTTCAGACAACTACACTAAATAAGTAATGCTTACACTAGTTCAGACAACTACACTAAATAAGTAATGCTTACACTAGTTCAGACAACTACACTAAATAATTAATGCTTACACTAGTTCAGACAACTACACTAAATAAGTAATGCTTACACTAGTTCAGACAACTACACTAAATAATTAATGCTTACACTAGTTCAGACAACTACACTAAATAATTAATGCTTACACTAGTTCAGACAACTACACTAAATAAGTAATGCTTACACTAGTTCAGACAACTACACTAAATAAGTAATGCTTACACTAGTTCAGACAACTAAACTAAACAAGTAATGCTTACACTAGTTCAGACAACTACACTAAATAAGTAATGCTTACACTAGTTCAGACAACTAAACTAAACAAGTAATGCTTACACTAGTTCAGACAACTACACTAAATAAGTAATGCTTACACTAGTTCAGACAACTACACTAAATAAGTAATGCTTACACTAGTTCAGACAACTACACTAAATAAGTAATGCTTACACTAGTTCAGACGACTACACTAAATAATTAATGCTTACACTAGTTCAGACAACTACACTAAATAAGTAATGCTTACACTAGTTCAGACAACTACACTAAATAAGTAATGCTTACACTAGTTCAAACAACTACACTAAATAATTAATGCTTACACTAGTTCAAACAACTACGCTAAATAAGTAATGCTTACACTAGTTCAGACAACTACACTAAATAATTAATGCTTACACTAGTTCAAACAACTACACTAAATAATTAATGCTTACACTAGTTCAGACAACTACACTAAAAAAGTAATGCTTACACTAGTTCAGACAACTACACTAAATAAGTAATGCTTACACTAGTTCAGACAACTAAACTAAACAAGTAATGCTTACACTAGTTCAGACAACTACACTAAATAAGTAATGCTTACACTAGTTCAGGCAACTACACTAAATAAGTAATGCTTACACTAGTTCAGACAACTACACTAAAAAAGTAATGCTTACACTAGTTCAGACAACTACACTAAATAAGTAATGCTTACACTAGTTCAGACAACTAAACTAAACAAGTAATGCTTACACTAGTTCAGACAACTACACTAAATAAGTAATGCTTACACTAGTTCAGACAACTACACTAAATAAGTAATGCTTACACTAGTTCAGGCAACTACACTAAATAAGTAATGCTTACACTAGTTCAGACAACTACGCTAAATAAGTAATGCTCACACTAGTTCAGACAACTACACTAAACAAGTAATGCTTACACTAGTTCAGACAACTACACTAAATAATTAATGCTTACACTAGTTCAAACAACTACACTAAATAAGTAATGCTTACACTAGTTCAGACAACTACGCTAAATAAGTAATGCTTACACTAGTTCAGACAACTACACTAAATAAGTAATACTTACACCAGTTTCAACGGTTACACTGTCTTAAATAATACTTACACTAGTTCTAACATCTAGGTCCTCAAACTGTTTCTCGAACTTTGCCATGACTTGTTCTACCTGTGAAATGTAAATAACAAAACAATGTTTCTACACAGTGTTACTTCAGTAAAAGTAGATGAATAATTTCCACTCTTAGTTGTTGTTTTTTTAGGCTTGCCGGACACAAGGTGTCAGCTCCACAATATTTAAGCTAATCAGCGCTTGATGGGCAATACAATCAATATCCCTCGATGGGCAATACAATCAATATCCCTTGATGGGCAATACAATCAATATCCCTCGATGGGCAATACAATCAATATCCCTCGATGGGCAATACAATCAATATCCCTCGATGGGCAATACAATCAATATCCCTCGATGGGCAATACAATCAATATCCCTCAATGGGCAATACAATCAATAACACTTGACTGGCAATACAATCAATAACACTTGACTGGCAATACAATCAATAACACTTGACTGGCAATACAATCAATAACACTTGATGGGAAATACAATCACTATCACTTGACTGGCAATACAATCAATAACACATGATGGGCAAAACAATTAATATCACTTGATGGCAAATAACACTTGATCAAAAAAACTGAAAAACGTATAATTAATAAATATAAAAAACACTGTCGCCCCCCCCCCCCCCAAAAAAAAACCTGCATTCTAGAACTGAGAGTTTTTTGGGGGTGGAGGGTAAATGATAGCCTGGCTCCCTTTAATTTGATGTGTGGACCCGGTGGCAAATCGAAAAAAAAAAAAAAAAAATGTTATGGGATCACTCTTATCTTTAGTTTCAAGGCAAGTAAAATTGTCAACAATTATCACCATTATCAGGTGCCATTTCTGCAGTGATGGTAGGTAGGAACAGACCTTCAGCAGTTTGTCCTAGGCCTTCTTAGTGCATTCTGCAAAGCTGTATCCTGACTACATTGTGATCCTATCTCTGTAGGGGCCTCCATGGTGAAGTGGTCAAGCCTTTGCACGACGTTCTGAAAGTCATGGGTTTGTTTTATGGCTGCATCAGTCGGTTCACAAGTGCAATTTTTATGGCGATACAAGGGGATCGTTGTTGAAGCTAAAGACTTTGTGCTCTGTGTGAAGCTCTCGGCAGGCTGCTAACTGTTTTGTGGAGAGAGGCAGAGCCACGTCGGACAAAACCTAGTTCAAGGACGACAATCCTTTTACCTTTAGACTGCTCTCTTTTACCATAATTGATGTGAATACCAGCCTGATAAGTCAACACAATACCCAAGATTGTATGGAACTAAAGAGGCACTTTTTTCCTGAATGACCAATTTAACCATAAACTTGTCTGATGTGTTAAAATTGGGGATGCAATTGCAATGAGAAATATAATCTTAGATGTCCTCTTTATCTTTTGCCATAAACCCTTTCTTTTATTAAAAGGGCTTTTTAAAAAAGCACAAAGGGGAAAGATTTACAGAAAAGATGATAATAAATGGGATGAATTCAAGGAAAGCAAAGATAACGGCTGGTATCAACAGTTATAAGAGAAAGAAAATGACGATTTAATGTGAAAATTCTAAAAAAAATCATAGAACTGGTACTGAAACGGGAAATAAAAGGCTGAACAAGCAAGGATTTCCAAGAAAAACTCTACAACAAATATTTATGACGGAGACTAGAGGTGAAGGACCAAATTCCATACATGATATTGAAAGATTACCCAGGACAGAATCAACTTGACTATGTGACAAATAAGCGGCAGAAAAGGATGATAATTATAAAAGTAAAGTAAAGTTAGCATCCTTTTTCACGCCTTTAGGCACATTGGGCATATGGGAGGAGCACCCAAACTTTTACAGACCAATCGGCACTAGGTGGGTAATGGGGTCAGTATTACGCCGGCTGTCTTTACTTCCCCAGAACATACATCCTGTTACCCATTTTAGGGTACCATGATAAAAGTCCACTCAGCCAGCAGTGGGTATTGATAGCAGTGCTTTGGAATTATGAGCTGGATTCACAACGCCTAAGCCACAGATGCCGCTCATGATAATTATAGTGAAGATAATTCAGATCAGCCAGGAACTGAAGTGAATTATATTTCCCTCAAGGTTTATAATTTATACCACCTATAAAAAACACACATAAATATTATTAATTTCCCTGTTAGTATTTTCTCTAATTAATAACCTTTAAACATATTAACAATGAGTCAAGATAATTTCTTAAAAATATAAAAAAATTTACCTTTTCAAGATTCATTGATGCCATCGCTTTATCCAAGGCCTTGCACACTCCGGAAATATCTTTTGTTATCTGTTCATGAATAAAAAAGGGAAAAGGAACATTTAAACCATAAAATTATTTAAAGCAGTAGACGGGGGCATCTATTTTCTGTAGACGTAAAACTCATAAAAGTCTTGATAACTGTGAATCAATGTGAGCATGCCAAATAGGCAACTCGCTAAACTAAATTTCTAAATCTGAAAATGTACCCAATACTTCTAGCACATACAAAAATGTATCTACCACTAACTGTGGGAATATTGAGTTGTGAGGCCCCAATCTCTTTCATGGTGCAACTCTCCTACCAGTGAAAACCATGAAAGCAGTCTTAGTCATTTCTTTAGCAAATATATTGATTGGATGGGGGGAGGGGTGGTGGTAGCAGCAGTGAATTTTAATTACAGAACAACAAGTAAAATGGTTCGGTCATTTACAAACAGTACACTACAACCGATGTTTACAGAGCAAATGGGAACCAAACAGGTGGCTGGCCATGCAGACAATGAACTGAAGGAATAACAGAGTCCCAGGGAATCCAGATATGTGAAGCACACAAACAGGCACTCTCACACTGTTTATACTTTCCCTCAACACTGCAAGGCGTGAAAGAATGAGATGATGATGATAACATTTAGATCCTCCAATGTTTAAAGGATGCTTGTAAGGTTTTCCGGCCCAGAAATACAGTAACTTCCCTTCCCATGCAGCCTACGTACCACAAGAGAGTGCCGCAGCAGATGCACTCCGACTCTGAAGGTAGCCAGTATTTAATTTACTCCTACAACACGCTTGTTGGGGAGGCAGTGGGTTTATTCTTGTTTTCCTCACAATAAGGTTCCAGAACATACAAGGTGAAGATGGAATCTAGTCCAGTACCTTTGGCCTCTCTCATCAACATTCGTTTTAGGGTTTTCTTTAGGCATTCTCACTTTCTCAATCCTTTTGCTTCCCATTTTAGTGCCTGTTTGGCGACTCTCTGCATGTATTTTCTCAAGATGTGTCCAATATAACGCCATCCTCTTTGTTTTACAACTGTTGTTACCAGTGCTTGCTATGACATTTCTCTTATTTCCTTACCACTCTTGAATTCATCCAAAGCTCATTCCATGTCCCTCTTATATTATTAATCTGCTCTCAAAGTCTCTTTTTCTACGTGTGTTTCTAAGTCATCCAGTATCTCTTTTGGGCTCCATTAAACGATATTCTAGTTATTTCATTATCAGGTTACCTAGGTTTTTACTACATCCAATGCCATCAGACTTACCTCATTTCTTGACTGACTGTTGAGATGAGCTGAGAGCCAACTTCACAGCAGTTGGGATATTTCCATAAGCACTCATCCCTATCTTCAGCAGTCAGTGAAGAGTTCCGATTCTGACAGTACTAGTCACAGTCTGAGCGTGTGTTTGTCCTGCCTGTCTTTTGAGTGTCCAGTTATTGGCCAGATCGGTGCTCCATTCTGACTGCGATAATCTGTTTGTCCTTCTGCAACGTTCACTCATTTCCCATGAGCCATCACCATATCTAGCTTGGCAAGCATCAACTCACCACTCAGCAGTGCAGAATCAGCCAGTCTGTCTGCCTCTTCCTTTCTTTATACATATGTATGTAGTTAAAAAAAATATCCAAAGGGTGCTAACTACCCAGGACCTCTAAAGCAAGGCTTGCCACTCTGCATTTCTTGATGTTTAAAAATTTGTTTAGGACTTTCCTTCAGTCATTCTGTCGCACAAGGTAAATAGCGAAATGAAATCAAACTCACATTTTTCATCGCTAAACCTGTCTGCACTTTTGCTGACACAGCGTCAACCCTTGCGGCAAATCGTAAATAATTCAGGGCCTCATTTTTCTTGCGGATGGCATTTTCTGCATAAATCTGTGCTCCCTCCACATTCTTTTGTTGCAAAGCCTGTAACAAAACATTACTTTCTGATTATTTGCTTAAAAGAAAATCATTTTATTCAACAACAACAAAAACTTGTTCAATTATTTATTTGAACGTCTCCTTTTGCTCTTCAACATCTTATGTAGCATATTCGAGCTTTACTATCCAACGACTCCAATTTAACTGTTTCGCTCCAGTAACGCTAATAAAATGTGTCAAGACCCTGTGAATTCTCGAGAGAAATTCTTTAAAAACATGTCACACAGGTCACTAATAAAAATGTACTTACGTACCTTTGTTTATTCTACCCCCCCCCCCCTCCTCATATATATATAAAGATGTTTAAAAGGAGCAATCAATGAGGTGTCTGAGAAAGACTGTAGGAGCGACCAGAAGAGATAAAATCAGGAATGATGTAATACAAGATAAAGTCGGCGCAGAACCAATTCTAAATTACATAGAAAGACAGCAAATCAAATGGTTCGCCCATTTGAGGAGAATGCCTTCTGATGCTATGCCATTCAAGGCATATACCAAAATAGGAGAGGGACGTAGAGCAAGAGGCAGACCAAGAACAAGATGGCAGGATACTACAGAAAAACTCTACAGCACCATAATGTGTCTATGGGCGAAGCAGCCAGAAAAGCATGAAGCAGCACCTTATATCTTCCTCGACACTCGAAGCAGTAAAAGAGGACGTAAAGAAGAAAGAAGAAGAATCAATTAACATGAACAGAGTGAAGCATTAAAAAGAATACATCCCCCAAGGTCTAAATATATGTGTGTTGGGTGACTGATGTCATAACCCCATGACCTCCACCACTGAGGCTGAAAGGAAAATATGACCATTTGGTCTGAAGGAAATTTCCCCCCAAATGCTAAATTAGTCCATATATTCACACCTTGACCTCATAAACCTTTCCGCAAGCATGAAAACAGCCAGCAGCATTAACTACGCATCTCGTAAACAGGAACTTGGTGGATGATGTGGTAAACACCATGTCGGCCGCCTTTACTTTTCAGGACTCTCCCTGGTACGCACTTAAGAAAAGTGACATTTAAGGGAAATTTGACCTAACCAGAAGTGTCGAGTTTGCGGCCCCTTCAGAGCAAATGGGCCAAGACCCACAATGTTAACTGAAATATACTAAAAGTATGAATGCATGAACCGATTTTTTAATTTTTTTTTTTCAAAATGTAACTAATGTGTTTAAAAAAAATACAAATTATCATTTATATTATTACTATATTATATTACAAAAATTATTACAAATGTTTGAAACGGAGTCTTACGACAAAATTCTGGACCCATGAAAAAATGCAAATAGAAGGGAATGAAAGCAGAGAAGCAACAACAAAAATTCATAATATGTTTAAATCGTAACTGATTACTGTCATCATGAGAGCTAATAGACTGAAATGGCTGGGGCATATTTGGAGAATGTTAGATGACAGAGAAGTAAAAACTGTATACACAAGGGACTTGATTGGTCATAGACCACGAGGCAGACAAAGAAGATGATAGACAGATAATATCTAGACAGACATACAAACACTTGGTGTCACCAACTGGAAAGACAGACCCAACCAGAGAGAGGAATAGAGGCGGGAGATATCTGCAGCAATGAACCCCAAAGGCTCGGAATGCTGAATTAACTCCTGAAAAGAACTGATTACCAGCAACAGAAGGGGAAAAATCTACATTCTTTGGTCACAGTGTGAGAAGAGAAAAACTGGTGTACATGATGATAAGGGCAGAGTTGGAGGAGAACAGAAGAAGATACAGAGACTGAAAGACAAGACAGTTTGGCATCACGGCATGGAAGATCCTATGTGTCGGAATTAATTGAAAGCATATGAGACAGAAGGCTGCGGAAAAACACACACAATGCCATATTGCATGGATTTTAAGAAGAAGATATAAATTATGAATTAAACCTTTTAAAAATAAAGATAATGTCATTTTTATGTAGTGCTGTGTACAAAAGTATGTGCATTGTTTATGTATTGTTCAATGTTTGTAATAATTGAAAAGTTCAGAAAGGTAACAAGGTAGACAGATATGTAATAAGTTATATTATGTATGTATATATGTATTTATGTAATGGTATATATACACATTTAAGGTTTAGGGAGGTAATTAGTTGGGTGGGTTTGTAAATAATATTTAAAGAAAAATGGAGAGGACAAGGCTGATAACAGTCTATGAGGTAAAAGAAGTTTAGTGGAGGGGACAATGCTGGGTTAACAGAAAGAACACTTTGGTAACAGCGTGTGATGACAAAAGAAGACCAGTGTGGAGGGAACAAGAAGACCAGTGTGGAGGGAACAAGAAGACCAGTGTGGAGGGAACAAGAAGACCAGTGTGGAGGAAACAAGAAGACCAGTGTGGAGGGAACAAGACCAGTGTGGAGGGAACAAGAAGACCAGTGTGGAGGGAACAAGAAGACCAGTGTGGAGGGCACAAGAAGACCAGTGTGAAGGGAACAAGAAGACCAGTGTGGAGGGAACAAGAAGACCAGTGTGGAGGGAACAAGAAGACCAGTGTGGAGGGAACAAGAAGACTAGTGTGGAGGGAACAAGAAGACCAGTGTGGAGGGAACAAGAAGACCAGTGTGGAGGGAACAAGAAGACCAGTGTGGAGGGAACAAGAAGACCAGTGTGGAGGGAACAAGAAGACCAGTGTGGAGGGAAAAAGAAGACCAGTGTGGAGGGAAAAAGAAGACCAGTGTGGAGGGAACAAGAAGACCAGTGTGGAGGGAACAAGAAGACAGACCGGTGTGGAGGGAACAAGACCAGTGTGGAGGGAACAAGAAGACCAGTGTGAAGGGAACAAGAAGACCAGTGTGGAGGCAACAAGAAGACCAGTGTGGAGGGAACAAGAAGACCAGTGTGGAGGGAACAAAAAGACTAGTGTGGAGGGAACAAGAAGACTAGTATGGAGGGAACAAGAAGACTAGTGTGGAGGGAACAAGAAGACTAGTATGGAGGGAACAAGAAGACTAGTATGGAGGGAACAAGAAGACTAGTATGGAGGGAACAAGAAGACTAGTATGGAGGGAACAAGAAGACTAGTATGGAGGGAACAAGAAGACTAGTGTGGAGGGAACAAGAAGACTAGTGGGGAGGGAACAATAAGACTAGTATGGAGGGAACAAGAAGACCAGTGTGGAGGGAACAAAAGCTTGTTGTAAATGTAGACTAATCAAGGGTGCTTGCTTCCAAATGAGACTGCATCTGTCTGTGTGGCAGGAAACAGCAGTCTGCACACAAGCAAACCATATCTGTAAAACAGAAGTGCATGCAAGCAGGACTTTGTGCCAGAGTTAACAGCCAGTAAAAACAAAGAAGAAAAAGACAAAGAAGAGCACATGTCAGTTTTCTTTCAACTATCCTGTTTGTGAGAGTTATCCAGTAACATGTGCCTTATTCTTATTTTTTATACATGCAGATCTATAGTTCATTAGCCTTGATACAATACTACAATGTTAAAAAAGGGTAAATATTTATTTACTGTGCATTTGAAGAGGGGGGAAAAAACAGGCTTTCCAGACCCAAAGAAAATGAGCACTTACTTTTTTAACTTTCAACTGCTGTGCCTTCTGTTCTTTCTCAGCTTTCTTTGACAGTTTTTCTAGCTGTCTGGTTGTAAACTGAAAATAAGTAATCTCAGATCAGATTTTTACTTTGCCTACTGTATCTACCAAACAAAACAAAAACAAAACAGCTGAGTTCTGAATTGAAATTAAGAGCGATAAAGTCTTACCCTTACTCTGTATCACTATTGTTAAAATTCACTGAGTATGATCCGGAAGGTTCAGGCAGGTTCGGTGGGTAAGCAATGGCTTTAAACATTAAAGAAGTCCACTGTGCATGGAGTCACCTTTATTTTCACTCCAGGACAGAGAGCTGAAAGAGCTGATAGGTTGGCTGGATCCGCTATCACTACCGTCAGTCAACCTATGGATCATGCTGATATTATTAAAGCTCTTTGAGAAATGGGAAGGGTGGAAGACTTTGAAGGCAGTGAATCCATATCACTCGCCAGAATGGTAGACTTGGGAGTTACAAATGGCACAGCAAAAAAAGGAAACGAGACGCTTACCAGGCACATCAGGGGACTTGTTAATCAACACAGAGCTGGTACTATTAGCCACTGGACACTGGAAGAGATGAGAGAGAAACAATAAAAAGGCACTGCCAGGTGTTATCCCATATGGTTCGGCTCTCTCTGCAGCATGGTTAGCCTTCTGAGAGGATCACATGAAACACAAACTCTGCAGCTTCAGTGATGATCCTGAGGGATCTCCAAAATTAATGACACGTCCACAAAACAAACCCACGACTTTCCAAGGGAAAGGAAGCGATTTCACCACGAAGCCTCCCCCCCCTCCCCTTTCCACTATGCATTAATGTGAGTTAAAAATTAAAGAGCCCTTTTCCTACGCCTTCAGGCATATTGGGCACATAGGGCTAGATCTATATTTTACAGACCTATGCGGACTTGGTGTGTGATGTGGTCAACATTACGTCGGTTGCCTTTACTTTCCAGAACTTTTACCTGGTATACATTTCAGGTTGGGTCAACCTGGGGGCCAAGGTCATTTAAAAAAAGTCTTCCTCCGTATTACTGCAAGAAGCAAAAAAAATGAACAATGGCCAAAAAAAAAAAAAGTGTGGGCAGATTGAAGCTTTTCAAATAATGGTTACATCATCATTGTGTGCCATGCTCATAACAAAAAATGGTCAGGGTTTTTGATCTCACACAATCGATCACAGAAGTCTCAGACTAGGAACTGTCTTGATTTTCTGTGACCGTGGCAACCTGGATGGGTTCCTAGGCCCCATTTTAGGCCACTAATGGGGCGGGAGGGGGGTCGCTGAATCTGGAACAGTTCGGCTAAAAGGTGCCGATTTTTCAGCCTAGCTGAAAACTACATCCAGCGTCTTGACAGTTTTTTTAAGGGCAGACGAAGAAGTGACAGTGGCTAAGAGATCCAAACATTTATCTCCTTGTACTCCTCTTCCTTTTTCTCAATAAAGTTTGCCAACCGACTATATGTTTTCATGCTTATTTCGCCTCATATTATAAAAGTGAATATGAAAAAGATGACAGGTTAACCTCGCCCCAATACAGGATGCAATTTCTTGTTATTTCAAAGCCCTGCCCTGGGTGTAGTCGGGGGCCCTAATATAACCTGGCTGTTCAACGGGGTTTCTGTGACATGTACCTGGGTGATTCTCATCCGAATGGTGCACTTTCTGTCACCAGGTGTTTTTGTGTGCGGTCCTGGTGTGGTTGAACGTGACTCACTTGTATGACAGGAGAAGAAATCATCGTCATTATGTGCCATGCTGATACACAAATGCTGTCATGGTTTGCCATCACGATCACCTGACTCACGGATCATGTCAGTGTTCTTGTCTCACCCATCCATTTGGTCAAGTGGGTGGTGGTGGAGGAGGGATATAGATCTATACCCCCCTCCCCCCCCCCCAATTTGACCCCAGATAAAATCCCACTAGGACCCGCATACTAAGCCATTAACGCCAGATGACCCAAACAGTCACTGTTCGGATGAAAACTCCCCAGCTACAAATTCCAGAAACTGTTTAACCGTAAGGTTATACTGGGATTATCTGTCTGCCTCTGATATGGAATTCATCACACAACAAACATTACTTACCCTGAGCTGAAACAGCATATCTGGAGAGAAGAGACAAATGGAATAAGTTAATGACACACATCAATTAAAGACTGAACAACACCTAAGTCAAGTCAATTTCTAAAAAATTTCGAAAATAAGAACACATGTTGTGCACACACACAACGACTATTTGTTGACCCTTTCAAGACCAGATGGGTTTATGAAGCCATACAAAAGTTTTCAGCATTAAAATAACTGATTCTCTTTCTACAAATGTTAAAAAAAACAAAAAAAGACTTCCCAAAAAAAACAGATATCATTATAAGAAAGAAATTGCAGGCTTTACAAAAGAGTTTTCCAAACCGTGTTTTGACACATTAGTGTGTTTGCTGCAGAGTGAATGTGTGTTGCGTGAATGTAACACATTACACAATTGATGTATGTGTCCATATGTCGTAAAAGGGGTTCATTTAACCTCTGGTCTTCCTGTGTGTCAGAAGGTCACATCTGGGAAAAAAACACGAACAGACCCTTTGCCTCCCCAACAGGAATGTCACAGGAGTCGACTAGCTGGGGATATAATTTGAAGTCGGACTGCATCTGTCTGAGAGGCAAGGAACCAAAATAAGCCAGATGTGTAAAATGGATGTGCACTCAACACGCAGGTTCTGGAACAAGACTTAAGGCCGGAGGTAGATGAAAAACCAGAACTTTCTGCCGGAGTTTACAGTTGGTGCAGACTGACTAACTGTCTCACAAAATTAAGTTTGTCAAAAAGGTCGTCACCAACATAAAATGTTTGGAAAGCTTTGTTTTATAGAATATCATTGGAAAAATGTATCACAGCTGACAGAAAAAGATGTAAATCAATTAAATTGATTAACAAGTAAATAACTGTTGTTAAATTAAGGATATGTGTATCAAATGCACGTGAAGAAATACATTAAAATTATTTTTGCATTCATGTTCCGATAAATTATATGCTACTCAGAACAAGAAATGCACTTCTACTGAGAGGAACATATTTTGTCATACTTCTGGCATTCAAAATCTTAGTAATTTAAGGAATCAAAGTTTTCACATTGCAAAGAAGAATACCTTAGGGCGCATTCAATCAAGTGACAGTGCTTGTGCTCTTGGGTCATCAATAATTTTTAGGTGTACTGGCTTTTCCATCAATTAAAAAAATGCAGCACAAGATAACTATGTGCATTGTTTTGTTTTTTTTAAAGTCAGTTAGCAGCAGTTAGGTAGATATTAAGTGCATGCCTGCCAGCCCAAGGGTTGTGTGTTCAAATCTACAACCTAAATTTATCTAGGCTTCCAGGTCAACACAATCTAAAAAGGATACAAGGAACTATGGGAAGCAAAGGTGGTTTCTGTGATGCTGACCACAGGCTGATATACCTAATCAGGAAATGCTCCATGAGAAGAAAGACATGTGGCCAAACCACAGCACTATGCAGGAGTAAAATAATCACAATAATAAAACAACACAGAACTGGTGTTGTCAACTGCTACATGGTGTGAGGAGGGGATCCATGCATTTATGGACTGAAAGGTTTGATGTGTGATAAGGATTATCTATCAATTAACTAGCTAACATACTAACCAATATTACTGATTGAGTACATATTGGTATATACATATAAAAGGCCAGGGGTCATGTTGTGTGGAAGGGGGAAATCGGGAGGTAGGAGTACAAATTAAAGGGTCCTTTAAACTCTATTACCTTACTGGAGATACAATGCTAGAGCCATATTAGTAATTGATAAATGGGTATTTGATAGCTGATATAGTCAACAGACCACTGGTAACCTTTAGGCCTAGTCTTTCTGTGACAATGTCAAGGTCCCATATATGCTGGGTCAATCCTTACAGGAGCTAAAGAGTTAATGTGTATTTAAAAAAAAAACTGTTTGGACTTGGATTTGAAACCAAGACCTTCGGGCTGGCAGGCAAGCGTATATACCTTACGTTATCGTGGCTCCATACCACACAGCAAAGCTATACATAAAGTTAAGGACACTCTTCCGAATAGTCCCCACATTTTTCACTGCAACAAAATCCCTTCGAGAGCCTCAAGAGGTTATGTAGTAAAAACATTTAGGCCATCATCATCAGCTTCCACTTCTGGGGTTATTGGTCGATGAAAAGCAATTTTTAAACGTTAAGCTAGCATGGGGAGGAATAGTTTTCAATCCATTGAAGCGTCGTGGGGAGAAACAGATTTTGATCCACTGTTAAAGCGTCATGGGGAGAAGAAGTTTTCGATCCATTCAAGCATTGTGGGGAGGAATGTTTTTTGATCCATTGGCCACATTACCCGTGACTCCCCCTTGTGGGTTCCAGGGCCACATGTTTGAGAGGAAAAAAAAATAATAGACCCACGGGCACCTAAAAAGTCTGTTGAAAAAGGCGACTAATTAGGACTTTGCTAAAATCGGATGTGTTGGCGCAAAAGGCGGAGATATAGCAGCCTAGCTGTAAACCATAACACAACATGCCAAACCACCCTTTTAACTAGATGGCTAGGACTCACAAGCAGCAGCTACAGCATCTCCTGCAGCTTCCTTCATTGTATTTGCTCGTGAGTCTTTGCCATCTAGTTTAGCCCCAATCCACGCCGCTTGAGCGGTGGCGGAAGTCGCCGGAAGTTCGCATTTCGGTAGTGGCATTATAGTCCCTGGAAGTGCGCAACTGACACGAGACTGAGGCCCTGTTAGGGTATATTTTCTGCCTCCATAATTTAGGACCGTTATTGGGAGGATAGCCGTTCATAGTGTTCCTATTTCAGATATTAAAATAAATGACCTCTTGGGGCCCTGAATAAGATTTTTGGCTCTCCTAGCAGATTTTGCCGGCAAGCTGGACGGCATCGGTCGGCTTAGTGGGAGTTATGTCCCTTCGCCACACTCAAAACAAGTCGCGGAAAGAGTCACGAATCAAATGACATACTTACCTATCATCATCCGGGTGCGTGTAGGGTTGCGTACGGTTGCGTC